ATGAACTTATCCTAAGAAGTGAGCGACGCCCAATGTTGATTGGCGAGGGCCGATGATTGATTGTCAGCAGCGGTCGACGAGATGGCGACGATCGGTGACTGGAAGTTCGCGTGATTGGCGACTAGTAGTCTGCGGTGATCGGCGATTGATGGTCAACGACAGTCGGCAACAAGGTGATGTTAAACTTGAACTCCTTTGACGGAATATGAACCACTCTGATTGGACGACCCAGAAAGATTCCTTACGACGTTTGATGAACATTTGAGTACCTTAACGATGTCAGATTTGAGCGAACTTGGGCTCATTGGATTCGTCTTATCGATAAGCTCATTTTCATCATAAGTTCACTAGATTCGACATCAATTTGGTCTTCCAAATATGCCCGAAAAGCCTCCAAAAATGATTTAATAGCTTGATTGACGATTGATTTGTCTTAGATTTGAATAATTTTGGTATCATTAATTCTGTCTTATCTTGTTAGTAAGTTTGCCTGTAAGTTTGTTGAAATTGGACTTCTGGAAGACTCTTAATCAAAGAATGAACATTTCTTGCTCAAAAGGTTGCCATGACATTTGTGTCATGTCTCAAAATTTGTGTCGTCATACATCTACAGCAAATCTCAATCATTTGGCATGAATCTCGAGGCATTACACAAATCTCGAGATGATTTTTAAGCAAAAAAGATTCAAACCTAAAAAAAAACTCATCCAGAACTCCGATTTTAGCAAACTTACAATCAAACTTACCGACTTGACAAGAAGAATTCAATGTTACCAAAATTAGTCCAATACAAGTCAAATCAAGATCAAATCAAGTTGTTAAAACACTCTTAAAAGTTTTCAGGACATTAAGAAGGTTAAACAAATGTCGAATTTAGCAAGGCTATAATAAAATCGAGCATATTGACAAGACGAATCCAATGAGGCCAAGATTGCTCAATTCCAAGATCATTCAGGCACTCAAATGTGGTGTCTGATTGAAGAAAGCCCTCCGGACCATCCCTCGTCTGAGGTGATGATCGTCTCCAAGGGTCTGAGTGACATTATTTTTAAATCATGAAATGTGTAACCGACATCGAGAAAGTGCTCCGGCTGCCCCTCATCTGAGGTGGTGATCATGTGTCGTGTGGTGCTCCGAGTGTATCTCGACCTTGCCGAGATATTTATCTGTCTGTCTGTTCGTCCCCCCTGCACTCTCGTAAGTCAATGTCTAGCCCCTTCTTGAATCTAGCAGACAACTGTCCTCATCTTTCCTGTCCCTACCAGCCCACCTCCCAACCATACAGCAGGCCGACGCCAGTTGCCCTCTACCCAACAACCGTCAACTACTTCCTGGCCCGCAAAATCATCTCCAACTCTCCTCCCTGCACCACTGCAGGCTGCTGTCAAACGCCCTTCTACAGTCAACGGGCCGCTGTCATCTACTTTCCTGTCGTCCCAACTACTGTCCCGCTACTTTCAGTTGTTGTCCCTTCCAAGATTGCTACCCCACCTTTCAACCAACCTCTACTACCCTTCGGATACACTTTTGAGGTGTAAGTTTGTATTATTTTATATTTTTTTGTGTGTTGTAACCCTCTTTTCTTATTAATAAAAAAGTTATTTTTGTGATTTAGGCTTTCTCCTCCGATCTCAACATGTCATTATTATTGTAGAAGGTGCAAGCATTTTTATTGATATTGTTTTGTGTAAGGTTGGCTACCTTCGCATCCTTAAATATTAAAAAAAAAAAAATTTTGGGGCATGTACATCCATACCACCCAATTCTTAAGCGTTTACATGTTTAACACATGCTTTAATTTTTACATACATGCCACCTATCTAAGCATGAAAATGTGCACCAAAAATGTTTCAAAATTTACCTTCTATTTCCCAACTTTGGTCCAAACAGACAAGCCTCACAAAGAAGAGAACACATTTGAAACTAACCCCATAAAAATAATGAAATCATCTTAATAAACAAAATATTATAAACTTTGAACGTTTAACAGAATTACTTCTGAATATTGTATGTAAGAGGGTGCCAAAAGAAAAATAAATAAATAAAATGTCATTTGTAAATTATAACATCCAGTAACCTTCTCTAATCTGCTCATAGAACTGATAAAAACTTGATTTTTGTGTAGAATGGTTTGCATAAATGACTAAATTTACTGTTGAAACAAATCATTTTACTGAATTTTTGTTTCATGATCATTTCCAGACAATCTCACCCAAAAATCTCAGTGCAGGAACTCCTCTAATCTCTACATCTACTAGCGGCGCCTGGATAAATTTCAAGTCCCTAAGCTCTGGATCACTCTCAATCATCTCAAGAGCACGCTTTTGATCCTGCAGCAAACAAGAAACATGGAGATTCAATCATGGCGAAAAACATCTTTTTAATTATTACTGTATTTTATATTGTTTTTTTGCATGGTTTGAACAAATAAAACGTTGAAAATGTGCTGATTTTAGTATAATTGATTTCCTAATGAGAACTTGTAAATGTCACAGTTCTACGCAATAATTTCTGCAGAATGGCATCCATTATAAGATTCCAAAAGAACAAAGCAGAATTTGCGCAGCACAGCTATCAACAGAAAATGTTATATTTCCTTTCTTTGGAGCATTTCCGTACAAACCGCTCAATTCCTATGTATTTATGTACTAATACTTAAACAATGTTATTTTTACATTTCTACCAACTAAATATTTATGTACCAACACTTAAACATGTAAGATGCAATTTTATTGTGTGCTTTTACAAATTATCAACCAATATTTTTACAAGGTAAAATGATGCTAACATACGATGGGTTTATAAATTTTGAATCAAATTGAGAAAAGAATGAGAACATATAATTAGAGTATAAGTTCATCATTAATGTTGGGAGCCAAAACAAAGAAGCACCAGAATCTTACAATGCAATAAGACAATACCATGAGTGCTATGCAAAAGAAGAAAATCATAAGCACATAGATAAAGTTTAGAAAGTTGCAATTAATCCAATTAAATTGCATGGATACAAGTGATGTGCACCGAATAATCTATCACCAAACAAGCTGGGAGAAACAAAAACGAAAATGTAAAGACAGGCGTCGAAAAAGAAGAATGGATGAAAGAAATTTACAGCTTTTATTGAAATACATATCATAGCAACTCATGAGCATTGAATGAAGTTTTATGCCATCCGAAGACAATTTAAGAAAAGTATAATATATGATAATTACAGCAGGTTTAGTTTATAAAATAAGATCAACGGATCAATAGGACATCAAATTTTCCATATAAATAATGATTGTGCAATCTATTCGATTGGTTTGGGGCTTATGATTCATAATGTCGTATGAAACTCAGTGACCGAGATTTATCATAGTAAATAAAGCTTATTTAACATATATATATATATATATATATATATCTGTGTGTGTGCGCGCGCGTGCCACCAGCCGTGGCCTGTTGGTAGAGCAGCCTATTTGAATTTGAAGTTCGTAAGTCCCCTCAGGTCAAGAGTTTGAGTCCCCCTCTGTCCAGTTTACCGACGGTGAGGGCTGTCCTCGAATAGTTAGGCACATGAGGATGGTTGGGGGCTCGTATAATAGCTTCCAACCATTCTTTAGAATATAAATATATATACACACACACACAAAACAATAACAACAACAAAGCCTTAATCCCACTATGTGAGATCGGCTACATGAATACTTTTTATCCCTTGTGTCCGTCATATTTAGTGTCATATTTTCATTTAGTTCTAGTAAATTAAGATCATTTTTAATACAATAAGCCCAAGTCTTTCTAGGTTTACCTCTGCCTTTCTTAACACAAGTCGAATTTAAAGCATCTACTCTCCTAATCGAATCATCAGATGGTCGACGTTTAATATGACCAAACCATCCAAGACGACTTTATCTAATTTTGTCTGTTATACTGGAGCTACTCCAACTCTTTCATGAATACATTCATTTCACATTTTGTCTCTAAGTCAAGCCACTCATCCATCTAAGCATTCTCATCCCAGCAATACTTAACTTAATATTATGCTTCTCTTTTAAAGGCCAACATTCAGCGCCATAGAGCATTGCAGGTCTCACCACCCTCTTATAAAATTTTCCTTTCAGTCTAAGTGGTACTTTTCTATCATACAAAAAGCCCGAAGCATTCCTCTATTTCAACCAACCAACTTGAATTCTACTATTAACATCCCCATCTATATCACTGTCACTTTAAACAACATACTCTAGATATCTAAATCGTTCACACCTTTCAATAATTTGATCACCCAAAGTTTCACTTCTGTCATTAAAACTAGTACTACTAAAATTACATTCTATATATTCAATTTTAATTCTACTCAAATTTAGACTCCAATGTAGACCTCCATAATTCAAGTTTTTCTTAGGTTTTTTCTCTAGTCTTATCCACGAGAAGAATATCATCAGCAAAAAGCATACACCAAGGTACATCCTCCTGTAAATGTCCAGTAAGACCATCCATAACTAAAGCAAAAAGATACGGGCTAAAAGCTGATCCCTGATGTAATCCAACAAAAATAGGAAAATAGTCAATTCTCCTTCGGTTCGAACACAAGTAATAGCTCTAGCATACATATCTTTAATGATTTGAATATAAGTCATATCAAGACCTTTCTTCTCAAAACACCTTTCTTCTTTAGAAGTCTCCGAAGGATATCTCTTGGAACCTTATCGTAAGCTTTTTTTGAATCAATAAAAATCAAATGTAGATCCTCCTTATTATCTCTGAACTTCTCCATCAAACCTCTCAATAAATGTATAGCTTCATAATAAACTTGCCCGACATCAATCCAAATTGATTATGAGAGATCTTTGCAATGCGTCGTAACCTATGTTCAATTACCCTCTTCCATAATTTTAAAGCATTGCACATCAACTTAATTCCTCTATAATTAGCACAGTGCATCTCCTTTATTCTTAAGAATGGGGACCAAAATACTCTTCCTCCACTCCTCAAGCATCTTCTTAGTTTTTAAAATAATATTAAAGAGTTTAGTAGGCCAAGAAACTCCCAAATCTCCTAAATATTTCCACTCTTCAATTGAGATATCATCAGGTCTTACAGACTTTCCAAGATTGGTTTTCTTTAAAACATCATCAACTTCTTTTTTACTAATGTGACGATAAAAATGAAACGTTTTATTATTATTAACATCATTAAGGTTGATCGTATTTTCAAAAATTTCATTAAAAGGTTTATCAAAATAGCCCACCCACCTATGTTGACTATCTTTTTCTAAGAAAAACACTTTTTGATTTTCATCTTTAATACACTTTACTTGAGTTAAATCTTTACTTTTCTTATTTCTTTGTTTGGCTAGTGTATACATATATTTTTCACCCTCCTTAGTATCTAATATATTATAAGAATCCCTAAAAACAAAATTCTTAGTGTCACGGATTGTTTTTTTAGACTCTCTGCAGACCGTTTGATATTTTTCTCAATTCTCTAAACTTTTATATCTAAACTAATTTTTATAACATAACTTCTTATATTTTATCTTTTGTTGCACATTACTATTCCACCACCAAATATTTTTGTTCATAATTTTATTCATAATTTTTTTTCATTTTGATTCTCCAAGAACAACTTTTGCTACTTTTTTTATAGTATTTGTTACTTTATCCCACATAAAATTGTTTCTTCATGAACATCTCAAATTTTGAAATCTTGAATTTTACTCGTAAAAATAATTTTATTTGTGTCTTAGTATTTTTTATTTTACACCTCTTCATATTAAAATCTATAACTAATAATCGATATTGGATACTTAAATCCTCACTTGGAATGCCCTTACAATATTTACAATCTCGACGATCTCTTCTTCTCATAAGAAAATAATCAATTTGTGTTTTGATAGATTCATTCTTATAAGTAATAAGATGTTCATCTCTTTTCTTTAATAAAGCATTAGTAATAATAAACTCATGCGCTAAAGCAAAATCTAAAATGACTCTACCTTTTTCATTAGTCACTTCAAAGCCGTAGCCACAATGAATATTTATGAAATCTTCAACCACTCTACCGACATGTCCATTTAAATCTCCTCCAATAAAATTTCTTTCTTCAAGAGGTATCATTTGTATTAAATCTTTTGAGTCATTCACGAATTTATCTTTAGACCCTATATCTGAACCTACTTAGGAGCATAACCATTTATAATATTAAAAATCTTAGTATCAATAATAATCTTAAAGGCTATAATTCTATCTCCAACTCTATTAACTTTTACAACATTATATTTCAAACTTTTATCGATAATAACACTTACATCATTTCTAGTATTACTCTTACCAGAATACAAAAGTTTAAAACCTAAATTATCACTCCTTAAAATTTTATCCAACCATTTAGTTTCTTGAATACATAAGATATAAATCTTTCTATGAATCATAATATCACCTAATTTCATTAATTTATCATTGAGAGTACTTATATTCCAAGATTCTATCTGAATATTAGTTTCATTAGTTTCATAGATTAACTTCTTTACCCGCATTCGCCCGTAATGTAAAAACTCTTGCTTATTTGACACTTCACCCGGACCCTGGTATAGCGACAGTTTTCACTGTATTCCTGTCATACAACGTGTCGCTTCCAGAGGATACCCTAACACTTACACAATGATCAAAAGGATTCATGTCATGATTTTTTGGACAAGTTCTACGCTTTCTGTCAACTACCTAACGCAACCCTCAACTTTTTACATCCTAATATATATA